CACGGTAAATACATGGCCTGCTGCCTTTTGTATCGTGGTGATGTCGTTCCCAAAGACGTGAACGCTGCCATTGCCACCATCAAAACCAAGCCCTCCATCCAGTTTGTGGACTGGTGCCCCACTGGTTTCAAGGTGGGCATCAACTACCAGCCGCCCACTGTAGTTCCTGGTGGAGACCTGGCCAAGGTCCAGAGGGCTGTGTGCATGCTGAGCAACACCACTGCTATTGCAGAGGCCTGGGCTCGGCTTGACCACAAGTTTGATCTGATGTACGCTAAGCGTGCCTTTGTGCACTGGTATGTGGGTGAGGGTATGGAGGAGGGAGAGTTCTCTGAGGCCAGAGAGGACATGGCCGCTCTGGAGAAAGATTACGAGGAGGTTGGAGCTGACAGCCTGGGAGATGATGAGGAGGGAGAGGAGTATTAAATGATGTATGCTTTTTAATTAACCCAAAAAAATAAAGATTGTTTATTGACAGTACTATTGTTTGCTCTCCTTTTCACACCACTCCACAGGGCACATGTACTGTTGGGACATTCTTTTTTAATAGAGCCGTTTCGATTGTTTTGTTTCTGTAGTTGGCACTTCAATCTCTGGTAGTAATATCACATAATTGATTTAAATGCATTCAAGCCATGTTTTTCAGTTCACCTCGTATTTGTTGAGGTATGCTCTTTTACATATATGAATACAACTGGGACAGCAATACATCTTGATGTAAAGTCATCTTTATGCAATTAGAACAGTTAATCTCAGTCTATTTCAATCTAAAGGTTGAGCTTTTCAGATAAAACAAGTAAACTGTTGTGTGTGTATATATTAACTATAAATAAATTGTGTATTTTTGAATACATTTAATATAATGATGCTCAAATGTCAAACTATTTTGTATTTTCCTCTGTAGCATAAAGGAAGTAGGCTGCAACTGCATTTTGTTTGGCAACCCTGTGTTGCGAATCGACATATGAAGCCTAAATCCCAAAACGATATTGAATACTGAAATTGAGCAATATCTTCTTGCAGACCCAGTTACCACACCTACTTTTGACCTAGTTTTAAACGTTTTTCTCACAAAAAACTACCACTAGGGGTCTCCAGGTAACTGGAAATCACGACTTTTGAAGAGCCTTTCACTTCAACACTGTTTAAGACCATTATTGCATCTTAAATTGCAAACTATTAAATAAGTATTTGAACACAAATCTCACAATTATATTTCTCTGAATTAAAAGGAGATCACTGGTGGCGTATATGAATTTAGGGGAATCTTCATATAAATACAAGTCTCTTTATTGGTCGGCAGTACCTTGTTGGTGACCATGATGAATGCTTTATTCTGAATTTGATCGAAAAAACAAATTGCACAAAGCTATGTGACAATGATGCAGTTAAATGCATAGCACACAATTAGTACAGAAAATAAATAGATTTGCAGCATTTAAATGTTTGCAAGGCAGTAGACAAAACTTGTAATATTGCAACATGGGAACATGTTTTTGAAAGACCCCTAAAACTGTGAAAATATGAAAAACAAAACAGACACACAAGTACTTTTCCAAAGTTTATTTACACTCCATAAACCATCCAATTGTTTTTTTGCAACTACAGTGACACATTTGGAATAGAAACACGTTTACATTTCTAGTACAAAGGCAAGATTTTAGGCTTCTGCGTATTGGTAAGGAATGAAACTTTCAAGGGGTTTTTCTTATTGGACCTATTCCTCTTCCTCTCCCTCTTCCTCACCCTCAATGTCCGAACTTGTAATGATAGTTAAACATTAATTTTTTAGAATTAATTGTATCATGTTTAACTAATGCCTTTTTGTCCCTTAATATTCCTCTCCCTCTTCCTCTCCCTCACCCTCAATGGAGTCGACTCCAACCTCCTCGTAATCTTTCTCCAGAGCGGCCATGTCCTCTCTGGCCTCAGAGAACTCTCCCTCCTCCATACCCTCACCCACATACCAGTGCACAAAGGCACGCTTAGCGTACATCAGATCAAACTTGTGGTCAAGCCGAGCCCAGGCCTCTGCAATAGCAGTGGTGTTGCTCAGCATGCACACAGCCCTCTGGACCTTGGCCAGGTCTCCACCAGGAACTACAGTGGGCGGCTGGTAGTTGATGCCCACCTTGAAACCAGTGGGGCACCAGTCCACAAACTGGATGGAGCGCTTGGTTTTGATGGTGGCAATGGCAGCGTTCACGTCTTTGGGAACGCCGTGAGACTGCGAACGGGAGCTAACCACTATTGCTCCATAATACTATAGACGGGCCAATCCTGGAGCTATAGCTCGCCGGGAAGAATGTGTTGGACTTGTTCCGAACTAGTCGTCTAACACAGGAGGTAGTGACGGGAGGTGACAGCGAAACCTACTCTGGGGAGTTCAACTCAGACGTGTCTCAAGGTCTGGTTGAACCACCGTTGATAGGGCGGTAGGTGGGGACCGGGGTGGAGTACGGGGCAATAGAGGCGTCTCTTTCGAATGTGCGGGTCGTCGAATTGGCACGAGTCCTTTAGTTTGATTAAGGAGGAAGCTCGGGCGGTAGTCAACCACTTTTCACTGGGGTGCGGTGCCATGCTTTATGTACCCGGCGACGGAAACAA